TGCTCACTTATTCAATCCTAGAATAAAAATGTCAAGTGATCTTAGAATTGCTTGCTAACATTTTACAAAAAAAATAAACTTACCAGAGTTTACTATTGATCATAGTAGGCTGTTTGGTTATTAGCATCACAGTATATAATCAAAAAACCATTTTCCAAAATTAGTTTTTCCCCACTCCCTACAAAGTGGTTAAATTAATGGTGTGAAAGTTATCTTTTAAGATTCAAAAGCAAACTGAGAACATGTATGTCAAATGTAACTCTCAAAAAGGAACTGTTTTACATATTTAATAACTTTGTATGTTTTATTTTTGTAAATAACTTCAAGCAAGTCTGCCTGAAGTAGTCATCACTCTGATAGTTACAAAGTAGTAATTTTTCTCTCTTTTCTTTTCTGTCTCTTTTTTTTGGTTTGGTTGGTTTGTTTTTGGTTTTTTGAGACAGGATCTCATTTTATAGCCCATGTTGGCCTCAAACTCTCGGTGAACTTCCTGCCTCAGCCTCCCAAATACTGGGATTATAGGCGTATACCACCACACCCAGCTCAAAGTGGTGATTTTTCTACCTCTGTCACTTAATATATTTATTATTTGGAATTCTACTCTAAAGAAGCATTTCCCTTTTCCATATATTTTTTTCAGTATGGAGTATTGGCTTGTTGTTTGGGTTTTTGGGTTTTTTTTTTATTGATGCATTTTAGACGTACATAATGATAACATTCATCATGGGGAATTTGTACCTGTTCGTGATATATCTTGCTGCTGCTTTTTTTCCCCATTCCCCCTGAGTCATGGGCTTTTTATTCAGTGAGTTATACTTTATTAGTGTCTATTTTGATATTTATATAGCCTAGACTTAGTTGGAGACACTTCAAGTGTTATTTTGATAGGTGTTCATCATGCCTTGAAGTATTTCCTGACATCACACTAAGTGATGTGTGTCTCTTGCTCATCTTGTACTTTTCTGACTTGAGCCCTACCTATAGTCAGTCATTTCTCTGACATTTCTTGGATGTCTTATGGAGAATGATAACTGCAAACCAAGGTCTAGGAGTTATGTGTGTTTGTTGGTACAGGGATAACACCTCTTCTAGGGCTTCTCAGTGGAGGCAGCTAGAATATGCATAGAAACTTAAAAACAGGATAGAAATATACCTATTTTGCATGAATTCACTTGTATATGTGCATAAACATAGATGCATCTATATGTTTCTACATCTGTGTGTATATGTATGTATGTCCACACACATACACCTCACCATGAGTTTATTCTTTATTCCTCCCACCCATTCTAACACCATAGAGTTAGTTTTCCTCCTTTCCATATTTATTACTTTGTTCTCCAACAGCGTAAACTCCTATTACCACTTAAGATACTTGCTCAGTCCTAGATTACACAAAAAATAGTTTCAGAATTGCTAACCCTGCTAGTGAAAAACAGAAACCCTTCTTTCTTTTTTTTTTGGTTTTTCTCCGGTACTGGGAACCGAACTCGCGACCTTGCGCTTGCCAGGCAGGTGCTTTTGCCGCTGAGCTAAATCCCCAGCCCCAGAAACCCTTCTTTCAAATGTGTGTTGAAAACATTTTTGTTTGACTGGACATACTTGGTGGGATGTATAATAACCCTAAGGATGGGGGACACCCAAAATTTTATACTGTTTTTAGTAATTATGTTTTGGGTGGGTTGTAATGGTATCATTCTCCTGAGACCGTGATAGATAAACACATAGACAGACATGAGATCAATCACCTGAGTAATGATACTAAGGTGATTGAGAAGTCAAGTTTTCGGTATAATTGAAAAGAAATAGAGGGCTGTGGGTATGGCTCAGTGGTAGAGCCCTTGCCTGGCATGCACAAGGCTCTGGGTTCAATCCCCAGTACCACAAAAAAAGAAAAGAACAGAAAAGAAAAGAAATGGGTGCTGGGCATGGTGGCACTCGGAAGGCTGAGGTGGGAAGATCTCTGTGAATTCAAGGCCAGCCTGAACTGCATTGCGAAACCCAGTCTCAGAAAGAAAAAGAAAGAGACAGACAGACAGACAGACAGACAGACAGAAATAAAGGAAAGAAAAGGAAAAAAAAGAAATAGAGATGTGAGATTGAAGGAGTTTTTTGTTGTTTCAGAGGATCCCATTTAGAGCTTCACATACGCCAAGCAAATGCTCTACCACTGAGCTGCATCCCCAGCCCTCAATGAAGTTACTAAACTAAAAAAATATGAATATGACCACACAGTGTATTTTGTCTTAATTATGTACATGATGTCATGTACTGCAAACATACACATACCCACAAGCTTCCTTTATTTGCCCACTGAATAGGCTTAGAAACAATAACCAAACTTACAGCGGTGAACACTCCTAGAGCATCCAGATTGTTGTTGTCAAGTAATATTTCCTTCCTCCTGCCTGTGGCTAGGGGCTGTTTCTTAGTCACTTGCCCTGCAGCCTGGCCACAGAGACGGGCAATGAGCAGTTTTCTCACCATGACACCTTTTCTCTGGTCTTGCTGGTACCCCTGTTGTGCACAAGCTCAGGGTCTGTGCTGCTGCCAGTGCCCGGTGGCCTTGTACGTGAACTCCTGCCAACCCTTCATGTATGTGCTCCTTCTACAGTGGGATCTGTCTCCTAGGGGGTGACTGCCATTGCTGATTTGAGAAAGTGAGAGTGGAGGACAAGTTCTCCTTTCTGTTACTCTAAAAACAACTTGGTAATTCAAGATTTGTGAATTGTAGTCACCAATATGAACTCCAGGCAGCTAGCTGCTAGCTTGCTTGCTTTGTTTTTGTTTTTGATGGTCCTGGAGATTAAAAGAACTAAAGAACTCCTAGTTTCCTGGTCACCAGGAGTGCAGCTGTAACACAGTGGGGCAGGTAGCATGCAGTGTTTGGCCCTAGGCCAGGGGACTGCTACTCAGCCTGGAGTCTGCCCTCCACTGGGCCCTGCTATGGTGCCTTTCCATGTCTCTCTCCATCCTGGTTGGCCCCTGTTCAGTCCCAGTGCTTACCAGCCTTCTCAGTCTTTATTCCACATTAGCCCTGAGTTGTGGGGATTCTGTTGTGGTTTCCAGCCAAGAGGCTAGGAGGAATTTGGGGGCAGGGTAGGGATGTCCAAAGATCATGCAGACTTAGAATCTCTACCCTGAGACACTCCCTTTCTCTGGGCCCAGTACCTTCAAGTCTGTACTTGCTAGTATACCAGCTTCCTTTAAACAGCCTTGCATCAGACCATTGCTTACTACTCTGGACTCTGGGATCATAGTAAGACAATGGGGCAAGAGCAGGAGTCCAAGGCTCCAGCCCTGAAATGCCACTAACTCACCAAGGAGCCAGGGCCATACTTCTCCCTGCTTTGGGCCACCACTGTCCAAAGCAAGAAAGGACCCGTGTCTCCAGAGGCATTTGAAAGCCTCGCACCCGGTGTGGCCACTCCTTTCAATATGCAGTAAACACTCCTCTGCTTAGAAAGAAACGTTTCTTGCTGAAAGAAACTATGACTCCTTTAAACAAACATCTTGACCCAGATTTGAGCAAAAAGTATTCAAGAGCAGTGTGCAAAATGGTGAAAGCAAGGAAACTATCAAAGACTATTTTCTATCAAAGACTATTGAGATGACACGATATATAAACATAAATACAATGAGTCCCTGACCTACGAACAGGTTGCAAACTTTCACAGGTGTACTGTATAGGATTCACTTTGTTGGATTATGAACAAATCCGACTCACAGACATTCTCCTGAAATCGAACTCCTTCATAAATCAGGGACTTCCTGTACACACTTATCCATACCTATTTTTATATTTCTATTATTTGTACGTATGAGTACTTATACACCTAATCATACTTCATAAACTAATAATAAAAATCTTCAGTATTCACATTGAAGGATAATTTTGGCAACTGATTAAATAAAGGGACTAAAAATGTTTAGCATATCTTCCTATTATTAATGGTATATCAGGGTAATCCCCTCCCCTCGAAAAAAAGCTGATGAGAGGAAATATAGCCATTAAAAAAATTAATGGGTCTCAGTATTAAGATCAGTTTAGAAAGAGGTAAGCAGATAACATGTACCTCTTGGTGGAAATTGAAAGCTCATCTATGAAATATTTTGCCACAGATCAGATCTTAGCCTAATCAAGTGTCAAGATAAAACTCAATTTAGAGGATAAATAGGGAACAGAGGCACTGGTTCAGTGACACAGCAAAATGCCAGCAGCAAGATGTTAATTATGAGAAACTACATGACAGATACCTGTTCTCTTTAACTGATAAATTGTTTTGGAAAAAAAAGAGTGATTAAAGGTAGGAAGTAGCTATGATAGACTTGAACATCAGCTGATTGCAATGTGTAGGCTATACTTGGCTCCTCATTCAACGAGCAAATTTAAAGTAAAATATTATGAGACAAGCAAGAAGGTTGGAACACTGTTTAGGTGGTTGGTATAAGAATTTTTTTGAACAAGTAGCAATGGTAATATCACGTTTTACACTAAACTTTACAAAGACATTATTAAAATACATGAGGATGAAACTGAATAATGCCTAGGATTTGCCTTCTCACAACCTCAGAGGGTAGGAGCATGGTAGAAACAAGGTTGTCCATAAGAGGTCATTATACTTCTCTCTTTTTGGCTATGTTTACCATTTCCTATAGCAAAATTTTAAAATTTTACATTTTTAAATCTAAGTGGTGTTGCCAGCTCTGGGGCATTTCCCAGAGGAAAGGACAACTTCCTGGGAATGAGCACTACCTCACAGGTGCTTGTACATGAACTTCAAGCTTCTCTTTGGTTTACTGTATTTCTGGTAGTAGTCAGAAACAGTGGGTGAAGAAATGAGTGATCAACACTTGGAGGAATTCTGTTCTGAAACCAGTCCGGGGGCACCTGACTTTGAGAACTGGCCACTCAACACTCTCTGTGTGAGGTCTCATCTTCCCAGGCTCTTGTCATTATGTACATGTGACATAACATGTGTCACCCTCCTCCTTCCCAGGCTCAGGCCCGATGTCACCGTATAGGCCAGAGCAAAGCTGTGAAGGTGTACCGCCTCATCACTCGGAACTCCTATGAGCGGGAAATGTTTGACAAGGCCAGCCTAAAGCTGGGCCTGGACAAGGCTGTCCTTCAGGACATCAACCGAAAGGGCGGCACCAATGGAGTAAGTATGCTGGAGCTGCTTTCGAGTGTGAGGAGTATTTACGCAGCACAGCTCTCTCTGCGCTATTCTCCTGACAATTCTTTGTGGAGTTCTTTCACTATATTGAGCCAGCCCATGTGTCAGCTTGGGTAATTCTCTACAGTAGAGAATAATGTGGAATCAGGTCTGTGCATTTTCTAGATGGATAACGGAAATCTCTAGGAGCAGTTTTGCAAAAGGTTTGCCCTTTTGCAAAACAGTTTCTAACCATGCCCATTAGAAGCCAGTAGATTGTAACATTCTTTACTGTGTAAATATATGTTTGTTACATCTCATAGCCCAGACTTTGTGCTCCTTAATGGTATCAAAGTGTTATCTATGTCTACCATGGACCCTAACAGTGCACAGCATATTAAAGATGCTCCATGTGGCATGGTCAGTGAATGATGAAAGAATAAATTAGCAGCTACAGCAGTTGAAATGTTTTTTCTCCCTCAAGGAAGGGATTAAAATTGTGGCTAAGATTCTTAAATAGTCTTAAAGTATAGGCAGACATCCAAATACGTCCTTAATCTCTGAGTTTAGGCATCAAAGATTGGGAATTAAAACTTCTAAGTGAATTGTCTTCAGTCCAGATGTTCTATATCCTCCTAGCTGTGCATATGTTGCTAAGTATAATACTTGAAATTACCCATCCTTAGAGTTATGGAATTCTATCTTGTGGTTGATATAAGAACCAGATTCTTAATTAGAACCAGGGAAGGGTGTTTTGCATCCCATTTCCTGTTTTCAACAAGTAGTTGAGAAGATCACACTTGCCACAGGATCCCTTTTTTTAGTTAAGAAATGACATCACTTCCAATTCTAATATATTTGTTTAATAATGAATAAATCATTCTTCAGCTTATTTTGTACATCTGGAGGTTTTTAAAGACACAGTCTCAAACAAATTTTTTTAATATGTCAAATGTATCCTCTTCAATGGTGCATAGCTTTAGTGGATTATGACATTTGATAGCCAACATCCTAAAAAATGACAGGGCTCTTAGATCATGTGTTGGGCTTTATTCCAAAGCTCCCTGTAGAGAACTGTCTGTCTGCCCGCCCCAGAGAAAATACAGAATACCTTTATCTGGGTTTTCATTTTTTCAAGTTGTTGTTCTTGTCCTTTGTTCTTTTTGCTATGTACAGTGAGTAGGGGAACTGGATAGTGAATCATAAGGCCAGATTTGAGGCTTTTTCTCCTACATTTTCCACTTTGTGAGTAGCCTTTGGTGACTTGTTCAGGTACAGCAGCTCTCAAAAATGGAGGTGGAGGATTTGCTCCGGAAAGGTGCTTATGGAGCCTTAATGGACGAGGAGGATGAAGGTTCCAAGTTCTGTGAAGAAGATATAGACCAGATTCTGCAAAGGAGAACCCACACCATCACCATCCAGTCCGAAGGGAAAGGGTCCACTTTTGCCAAGGTACAGGATCTTCTGTCATTGTGGGTGGGAAAGAAAAGAACATCATTTATTCTTCAACCCTTGTTAGTAAGCCTTTTGTTTCTCCAAACGCAAACTCTGGAAATGGTCTGACTGCACATGTGGTCTCTGTGACTTTCTAGAGATGTAGACGCTTGAAGAAGGTCAATAGTGAGGAACTGTGGAAGGAAAACACCGAGCCTTTGAGAGCTGATAGTTGGCCTGCACTGGACTCTGTCCACTCTTCACAAGGCCTCCTCCAGAACCTTTGTGTAGTTATCTTGATTTCCTTGGAGAGCACTCCTTGATCGCTATCGGAATGGCTCTTCAGTGAACATTCCATTCCTTACACTCAAGCAAGCATGTTGTTCATTTCGTGGAAAAAAGATTTTACATAAGATTCCTAGCTTCTGGTCTTGGGACTTCCTTCCTGTGCTGTCTGGGTCACTGGCTTTAGAAGTTTACAGATCACTCTCAGGTTAACCTGACCATAGGCTGTGGCATTTCGTCATCTCAGATCTATTTGATTCAGTCTCCTATTAGATAACTCATATAGGACTTTTTTGTGGGAAATTTTGTGCTTTATAGGAAGAAACGTGTAATGTGTTGCTTCATTGTCTTTCCTAGTACAGACACTTAACTGTTCAACTAAAAGAGAAATCTAGCAGAATTTTGAAACTAGGCACCAAATAACACAAGTGTTGTATACCAAGTACCACACTGCTATTGTCTTGTAAGCATTTCTTTCTCCTTCCAAGTTTAATATGTTCACAAGGAAGCCATAATTTGTATATCTCACTGCTGGGCAGCTCTGATTTGAATGTGATCCTTCCTGTTGGCTTTTACCACTGGTGGTACCTGCATGACTCTCCCAATGGGTGGTGAACCACTGGTGGTTAGCTCTTGACATTAGATGGTGGAATTTAAATCAGAGACACCCAGCATTGAGGCATAAATTATAGTCGTGAATGCATTAAAATGCTATCAAAGACTGGAGGCAATTGTCTGACAAGTGTGAACTCCTAGTTTGATTCCCAGTACTCCCACAAAAAATACTATTAAAAAATTATAATACAGCTGACTTGCAGTTGGAAATGTATAGTGTCTATCCCAGCAATGGAGAACTTATAAAATTTCCACATTAAAATTTAGAGAATTAATTATTGATAAACTGTACACAAATGTACATAAACTTATTAATTTAATGAAATAAATTTGTTGATTATTGTAATAATTTTTAATTGATATGAAAAAATTAATATTTTATATTTGGGCAGTAATTATTCAAATTCAAGCAACTAACTAGATTTGGTCCATTTGGAGACATTTTATTTACAAAAAGCAATAAAAGTGATTAGATATGTTCGTACCACTAGTGGTACAAGCCAGCCAATGGCAGTCATGCGTGTACTACCTGTGGTTCAAGCCGGCAGGAATGTGTTAAGTTCCACAAAACCACCTCAGTTGAAATTGTGAATTCCTCAACCAGTCTTTAAAATAAAAGAAAAAAAGAATAGCCTTTAGATTTTCACATTTATTTTGGAAGCTCTGTTAGGAGATTTTGATGTAGATAGATAATATATTTAACTTTTTAGTGCTTTTGAAATAATATACCTGTTTTCTTTGTACCTTATACAAGCACAGTTTATTGATTCTTATTTCCTTTACAGGCTAGCTTTGTGGCTTCAGGAAACCGGACAGATATTTCCTTAGATGACCCTAACTTTTGGCAGAAATGGGCTAAAATAGCTGAACTGGACACCGAAGCAAAGAATGAAAAGGTACAACATATTTTATTTCACTGACTACTTCATTGCTGTCCCACCATAAATTTCTGTACCACTGAAGTCATTATTTAATCCTAAGTCTTGGTTCTTAACTGAGATACTACTGTAACACACTTAAAACATGCTGGGCACATACACAGCACTTACAAATGTTAGCTGTTGTGACTCTGCAGTGACCTGATGGGACATAGAGTCTGCTGGAGATCTGCAAGGTTCCACAGAAGGAATTACTGCTGGGACTGACCAAACAGATCAAGATCAGCCTCTGTCTCATGCCATCATACAATCCCTGGCATGTGGTATTTACCTCTGTGTCAGTACTTCCTGTGAGCCAGGCATGGTGGTGCACGCCTGTAAACCTAGCACTTGGGAGGCTAAAGCAGGAGGATTGTTACGAGTTCGAGACCAACCTGGGCTACAAAGTGAGCTCAAGGCCAGCCTGAACTGCATGGTGAGACCCTGTCTCGAAAAGATAAAAATAAATAAGTAAATAAAAAGTTAAAAAAGAAACATAACAGGGGCTGGGGATTTAGCTCAGCGACAAAAAGCACCTGCCTGGCAAGCGCAAGGTCATGAGTTCGGTTCCTGGTACCGGAGAAAAACCAAAAAAAAAAAAAAAGAAACATAACAAAGAAAAGGTTTTTGGCTTTTCCTCCATGTTTCTCAGTGCTCAAGTTTTACTGTTTCTGAAATAAAAGCAGAGTATGTCTTTGGGCAAAGTAATTGAACTCACCAACACAGGTGGAAAAATGAGGTGGTAAAGCTTATGCTACCGCCAGGATGTCATATTTGTAAATAAAACTGGCATTGGTACCCAGCCAACTGGGAGACACCCATAAAGTGTACCTTCCCTACCTCGGGTTCTGACCTGTGACCTCACATTAGGATAAGTACGTATCCTTTCCAACTGTCTTAGGTGAGTGTTGAACTCTTGTGGGTCCCCAAATCCAGGAGACAATCCCTACTTACATCTAACTAAGTCAGAGGCCAGCATCATGCTATAGCTATTTTTCCATGAGACCTCCAACATTTGCTTAATCCAACATCCTTTTTCTAAACAGAAATGTTCTTTTCCCCTCTTATATAAGAAGATTCTGAATCTCTTTTAGTAATCTGCTTCAAGTGTTTTACAGTGTCATAATCAAGAAGCCACTCTTTGTGCAGAATGTGGATAAGAGAGGGAAAGGAAGAGCTCCTGCCCTATAGGCAGCAAAAAGCAGTGGGAGCATTCCAACTTGGGAAGCAAGTTCATTGAAGCAGGGGTGACGCTGAAAATTGGCTGTCTGGACTAAGAAAGAGTGTGCATGGGTTTATCCTGGCCCTGGAAGAAATGGAGAAAGGGTAAAGAAAAGGAAATCATAAAATTAAAGAAGGAAGTGGGTATGACCAGGGGAGCCACCAGAATGAGTGAGATTCCTGAGCTAGGGATTTTGTGTTTGGGCAAAAGACAAGAGGTCAGTGGTTAGTACCAGAGCAGGCAGATAATGAAACAGAAGGATGTATGTTTATCTTTAGAAAGTCGCCGTGCATATGGAATTCTCTGACCTGTCCTGTCTCCAGAGCATAGACTGCTTTGTTCATGCTGGCTGAACAGCTGGGGCTCACCACTCCTGTCCTTCTTGGCAAGAGCAGGCTGCCACTCTGGGCACTCACAGACTTTACCTACCCATACCCCTGTTAGAATGACAGCAGATGGTGGCCAACAGCCCTAGGGGCCCGGGAACATGCCAGCTTGAGCAAGTGCCAGAAAATTCCTTCTGCTTTTCCTGTAGTCGTGGAGACAACAGATGTGCTTTGAAGAGTGTTTCCTGCCAGGGGATGAGATGGGGGTGGTTCTTTCTCTCATGTGCCCTCAGGAATAGCAGCAAGAGATATTTGTGCATTGTGAAAACACTGGAGAAAAGGGGAACCTTCTGTCCAACAGTTCTCTTCATTTCTAGGAGAGCTTAGTGATCGACCGGCCTCGTGTAAGAAAGCAGACCAAACACTACAACTCTTTTGAGGAGGATGAGCTTATGGAGTTTTCAGAGTTAGACAGTGACTCAGATGAAAGACCCACAAGATCCAGACGCCTCAATGACAAAGCCAGGCGCTACCTCCGAGCTGAGTGCTTCCGAGTAGAGAAGAACCTGCTCATCTTTGGGTAGGTGTTGGCTTTTCTTGATATGACAGTGCTGTTGTTTTCCCACTTTTCAGCGTGAGATTTGTTCACTGTGTCTCTCCAAAGTCCCTGTAGTTACAGGGCTGATAAGATCAGCTGGAGCAAGAGAGAGCTGTGCTTTCTACCCAGAATCCCCGAGTCACTGTGTGCTTTGCAGTCATAGTGTAGAGGTGCTATGCTTTTCTCAAATGCTTGTCACAGCAAATCTCTGATACTAATTTGCTGCCTGGTGCTGATTTCCTGCAGTTTTCTTCCCCAAGGATATATAAGGAGTCAGTGCAACAGATGTTATAGTCAAGGCATGGTATGTGCAGAGCTCTGGCTCTGGAGAAATGGAAGGCTCAGCTTCTTTAAGCTCACCCTTGCTTCTGAAGGCTCCAGCTGGACTGTTTCAGTTCTGCTTATTCCGTTTCCAGTGTTTTGGTCCATCCGTTCTTAATAACCTAGCAACCGTATGAAGTTCTCAGTGTCCAGTGTTCCGATCACCTTTGTGGCATTTGCTGTGCTGCACTGATGCAGTCTTCAAAGGCCTTTAGGAAAAAAGCTCACAAGGTGATTAACAGACCCAAAAGAAGATGAAACATGCTTTTGACTCTTGCTTATCCTGCTGTGTGGAGGTTTAATGCACCGCCCTTCCTCCTTCCAATACCCTTTTGTATTTCTACTGTCAGCTGGGGCCGATGGAAGGACATCCTGACTCATGGGCGATTCAAGTGGCACCTGAATGAGAAGGATATGGAGATGATCTGCCGGGCCCTGCTGGTGTACTGTGTCAAACATTATAAGGGGGATGAGAAGATCAAGAGTTTCATTTGGGAACTAATCACACCTACGAAAGATGGACAGGCCCAGACTCTCCAGAACCACTCAGGTGAGTGGTAGAAGAGCTCCCATGCACTTTCACCTCCTCTCCTTCGTGAGTCCACGCTGCTGTGCTTTGGGTGACTTCTCTTTCTGGATATATTTTGGAATGGTACCTGTATGGAAGGATGGTGATGCTCTCACTTGTCCCTCAGGATCATCCATTGTTGCCTGTGTTTTATTTAAAGACAGTTGGGCCTCTGGCAGTTTCCCACATGCAGTCCTGCCCGCTAACGAATGTGACAGGGTTCCTACCTTAAGGTAGTAACTCAGACCTGAGCTGTGTGACTGACCGTTTGCATTTCACCATTCTGTTCCTGTTCCACCTCTGTGCCTTTACTTGTGCTGTACTTCTTCCTTGTACTGACCAAAGCTCTCCTAATTTCAAATGTAATCTTCCTTCCTGCCATAAGGAAAATCATAACGGTCCTAAGCACACAAGCTGTAGTATGCTGTTCTTGGTTCTCACAGGGTACTCAGTAAATCTTACCAACTGATTCAAGGGTCCTGGAGTTGACTAGGAGACCGAATACATCAACTCGCTGCCTGTGGACTGAGTAGGGCCTGTCATCCGGGGCCTACTAAGTTTGTGTTGGCTGCCTCTTTCCCACTCTAGTGCAACTCTGATTTAATACCCATGGGCTTATCCATGTGCCCTACACTTTCTCTCTCAGGGTTGTCTGCCCCAGTCCCTAGAGGGAGGAAAGGAAAGAAGATGAAGAATCAGCTGCTGCTCCCAGAACTAAAAAATGCAGACTGGCTGACCACCTGCAACCCTGAGGTGGTCTTGCATGATGATGGCTACAAGAAACACCTCAAGCAGCACTGTAACAAGTGAGTGTGCCCCTCCTATTACCTGGGGAAGCCTTGCTCAGGCTGTCTAGCTCCTGAAAACTCTACGGGAAGGCCACTTCTCCTCTACTATTTATTATGCAAGATCTCAAAAACAGGCTAGGGCCTGTGGCCTAAGCCGGATCAGAATTCATTTTACTTTATAGGTTCCCAGACTCCTTTAACAGTATGTCTTGTCTCCCACAATGCATTGTGTCTGAAGATTTGTCTCATCTGACTCTCCAAAGCCATTCGGGAGCCCCTCTGCCTCTGGGATCATGTTAGCAAAGGCAGAACACTGTCCTCAGTGGCCACTACTCTCAGCACCCTATAGCAGCTACTATTTCCTCTCCTTTTCTGTTGCCGTCATGACCTCCAGTTACGTCATAGGCTTGGCTTTGAGATACTAGTCTTTATATTCATAGGCTAACAGCTAAAGTGCAGAAGGGAGTACAAACAGAAAAAAAATAAAATTGTGTTCTTGAGTAGTTTATTCTTAGGGATTATGACACTCAGCCGTAAAAAGTGACAGTTTTGCATGGGGGCTATTTGCATCTCTTTACAGTATATCTGACCCTTGGAAACCAGGTACTACCAGCAGGGATTATGTAGGCCATACAAGAGTTGCCTTCCCAGCATTCCTAGTGTGCAGTAAGAAGGCTTCACACACTTGTAGTTATCAAGAACATTATGGGATAAAATGTTATGCTGAAGCCAGGTGTGGTGGCACAGGCCTGTAATCGCAGCACTCAGGAGGCCAAGGCAGGAGGATTGCTCCAAGTTCACAGCCAGCCTGGGCTACATAGTGAGTTCAGGACCAGCTTGGACTACAAAATGAGACCCATTAAGCACATAGCATCAGGATTTCTTGAGCTAATGAGACTTGTGACTAAAAAGTAAAATTTGAGAAGAAAATCTAATCTGCCAACAGCTTGCAAGATGTAATAAAATGAACCAAGAGCTGAGTAGTAATTGGAAGAGTTTTGTCATAATTAACAAATTTACTGCCATCCTGTGTTAGGTAAGGGTTAAGATAGGCTTTAGGGTCGAGATTGTCTAGATTTAAGTCCTGGCCAAATTATTTGACTAGCAGGTGAGTTATGTAACCTCTATATGCTTTTTTTTCCTTTGTCTACAAAGTGATGAAAATAGGTTATACCTGTTAGCATTGTGATGAAAATTAAGGGAGGTAATACATGCCTAGTACATAGTAAGCATTCTTAAAGGATTGTTAGTAGTAGTATTTGGTTTAGAGGCATAAAATTACCATCAGAAGAACTTTCAAAAGTTAAAAAGCAGCCAGACATGGTGGCTTGCGCCTGTAATACCAGCATTCAGGAGGCTGAGGCAGGATGATCGCCAAGTAGGAGGGCAGCCTAGGCTATATAGTGAGTTCAAGGCCAGCCTGAAGGACATAGCGAGACTCTGTCTCAAAAAATAAAAGGAAAAAAGAAAAAGTTAAAAATCAACTACTTTAAGTCCAAGGCAAGAGAAGTCAGGATAGGGTTTCTCCTTTGGGGGTAGGACAGTGATTGGATGGGATTCCAGTGGGACTTCCGGGGAAATGTTCTACTGCCTAATCGGGATGCTAGACACAAAGAGGTGTGTTCTGTTTGTGCAGTTCATCAACATCACATTTATGCAGAGTGTACTTTACAAAGGTATATTTCACATTAATATCATGTCTTTAAAAAAAGAAGAAAAAAGATGCTGCCACCCAAAATATTAATGTATTCCTTTGTTTGGCTGAAACAAGATGCAGCACACCTGCCCTACTGTCTCTTTTCTTTGGGCTTTATTCCAAACTGGGCTTTATCATCTCAGTCTGGACAGAGGTGGCTCTATACAAGCAGTTGTCCATCTGCCCTCTGAAATGAGTGACTTCTGTTTTGGAGAATAAGTAGGTACTATTGAATAAGTAGATTCTGTTCTCTTGTGCTGCAGATATTGGCAAACATCAGCATACCTGCTTCTCTTTAGAGAGACAGAACTAGCTCTCCCAGTCTTACATCCTCAGGAAAACCTCACTGTGATGGAGCTAGATCTCACAGGCAAGACTTTAACTTTCTGTTTCAGTTCTTACTTAGGAGGCCACCAGCTCCTACCAGCCAGGAATAAGGGTCAGCAGTGGTTATAAATGCTTAGAGTTCTTCTCTGGGCTTTAGGAGGAAGAAAATCACAGTTTGACTTGATCAGCAGCTGAGTTAAGAACTGATAACAGACATAAGGGTTCTTTGCAGTCTAAAAGTTTTAACTTTGTGTGTCTTCATTTATAACTTGAACCTACAGTGGCACTGTTTGTCCAGATCTAAAAGAAATTATGCTTTTTAGAGGACATGACCTTTATTATTAACTTTTTTTAAGTAGGTCATACACATGTTTGTTTTTTTGGTTTTTTGGTTTTTTGGTTTTGGGCACATTTTTTAGTACCGGGAATCAAACTTACAACCTTGTGCTTGCCAGGCAGGTGCTTGTGCTGCTGAGCTATATCCCCGGTCCGCACATGTTTAAAAAAATAAAAATCTGTTTTCCCTTGTTGCCCTCTTCAGAGGCAGCCCATTAACCTGGTTCTGACAGAGATACTTCGTGTGCGTACCTGTATATGTGTATCTGTGGACTCCTCTCGTCTCCCTTAAAACAATACATGTTGTGCATACTGTTTCTGGTCCCTTTTTTAAAACAAATTTTCTGGAGGTCATTTCCTCTGTAAGTATTAAGAATATAAACAGACTTCTATTTCTGGTGGCTAGCCTTCACTCTTGACTGATGTTTAGTGAATTGCAAGTGCTTCTCCAGCTCTTTTTTTTTTTAACTTTAAAAATTAAACTAACAAAACAACAATGAAGACAAAATCAAAACAAGACAGAAACAACAAAAACAATACAAGTGCTTCTCCAGCTCTCTTGACTGCTGGACCTTGAACATGAAGTGCCTCCTGAACAGCCGGCTGCCTCTATACTCGCTCTTGCTAAGTACTCTTAGCAGAGGCCCTCACAGTCATCTTCTGTCCTCTCATGCTTCCCATGGTTGGTCTCATTTCACAACTGCATTGTTGTAGGTTCCTCAAAATGAGATTAAGTTGTTTACTTTGTTATATATTTCACAGCCTCCAGCATGGTGCAGGGCATATAGTAGTTGCCCAACAAATATTTAATTGCTTTGTCTGAACCATAGTTGGTATATTGTCATGGAACCTGAGCATAGCCTCTGCAGAATCAAAATGAATTGATTCTGGAGAGAAGACCTAGTACTAGTAGAAAGTAACTTCTGTCCTTTTAAATATTCATTCTATTCTGTATGAGGAAAGCTGAAAACACTGCCCTTCAACATCACTCACACTGATAACTGGCTTCTTAGACACCAGTTATGCCTCCAGGGTCACTGTGGCCTTGTGGAAGTGGGATATACTCTTTGAAAGGTCAGAGGACATTGACTCACAGGGCAATGCAACAGATAACTAAGGAGATGGTTGTTTTCTTGGGAAAGACAGGATGGATTATAGTAGCATCTGCCACTGGTACATGGTATTTTTTTTTCCCCTGGTGCTTGCTGGCGTATTACTTAATACCACAAACTACATAGGAATGCCCATAATTTCCCAGTGTCAGTTTAGGGGTGGGGGCCACAGACAGTCTTGGGTTCTAATGTGTTTACGTTAATGTGTTCACCTTTCATAGAGTCCTTTTGCGAGTCCGGATGCTGTACTACCTAAAAGCTGAAATCCTGGGAGAAGCAGCTGATAAAGCATTTGAGGGAGCTCCTGCCAGGTAATACAAATCAGCCTTCGCTGTCAGTGTCCAAGAATGGACATGAAGTGCTTGTTTGTGACTGGCCAAATTGCCCAGCACTAGTAACCCCAGTGGTGGGCAGAGAGAAGGAACATTCCATCAAGATGATCAGGATGTGTACAAGTAAAAGAAGCAAGAAAATAGACTTCTGGAAACCCAGCTTTTGGGACATTTTAGGTTTCCTCCCTCCGCACCCACCATGCTATTGTAAGACTGCTTTTAAAACAGTCACTTCTCTACTTTAGCTCATCTTCGTACAGTGAGTGTCAGTTATTCTGATTGGCTTAGTCTGCCAGGTATAGACAAACTTTTTCCCAGAGTCCCATTTGGCCTTAGTGTTCTTAATGCATTTGAGTATTTCTCCTTTGTTAATCATGTTAGTATCATATGACCTGTTTGATTTGTTACATCTTTGAGAGTCTCCCAAGATTTCATGAAATGAAAACTCTCTGCTGCTACTTAACGGAGCTGTCAGAAAGTCACAATTTATAGACGGGATCACCAGACAACTTTCTTCGCCTTCCCTGGAGCTGCAGTTTTCCCTCTACTCTGGTCATTCCTAGACAACACCGGGAGTGCTGAGATTACCTGGACCATGGTTTCTTTTCATTTCCATTGGGCAGTGCCAATGGTTTTAATAGTCATTGGAGCAGTAAAGGAGAAAAAAGCGTAGGTATCCTGACCAGGGAAAACAGGGATTAGAGCCAGTCCTCACAATGATTATTATTACTTACTGTGCCTTCTGGAGGCACAGTAGTAATTTATAGCAGGGATAGGGGGTTGTGTTTTAGTAGAAAGGTGCAGATCATATAAATAGAATAATATTCAACCTGATGGTTTATATCAAGTGTTACCTGGCAGAAATAGCTTACTCATTGTCCATCATATGCTTTCTAGACATACAGACAGGTGTTACTCTATAGAGGAAGGACAGAGTATTGCCCATTCTGTTCCTTCCTTTCCTCTGCTTTCTTCTCACTTCTCACTGGTCTTACTGATGTTTAATGCTGTGATGTAGAGCAGTTGCCCTAAGGCATGAACAGCGGTTGTCTCTGAAAAGTCATTTAGCCACTATGTGGGCAGAACAGTAGTTTTCTGAAAAGCTGGGGGCCAAGGAACACTAACCTCACAGAGGGAAGTAGGCCTAGCAAGGGTTAGTCAGGCTTGTATCGCAATCAGAGCAGCCTGATCGAAGAAGGACTTTCACATGTTGCAAAGAAGCCATCCCGGGCAGTGAGGAGGGAGAAGGAAGAGCCATCCAGGTAAACATCCTCACCACTGTGTCCCAAGCCCCAGAACGTTCAAAGACCAAGGACTTCTCAGATGAATGAAGACAGTGAGCCTGAGGGTCCATGCTCTCAGAACAGGAACCGAATGTACAGAGAGCTGATGAAACAGGACTGCTAATCTGTGCTCATCTGCATCCTGGGGCAAATCATGTTTGTTCCTTTGGGTAGCAGCCGTGCAACTTTATGATCAATTTAGACCCAATAGACTCTTATGAAACCATTACCAGAAAGTGCCACCTATTGAGGCCCTGGTCCTCTAAGAGACCCTCTTTATATCACAGCTGTACTGGTGCAGGTTCTTGTTTTCAAGTACTACTTGAGTTCTGTACGTATTGAGGCAACATGTTACCCGGGATGAGTTGGACACTATTATTGTAAGCATTCAGTCATGTTTGAGTTCTGCTATTTGGGGAAAATTCTACCTTCTATGACCAGTATATCAGTGGCTGTGCTTGTCAACTAAAGGTGCACATCAGAGTTACCTTTTACATAGAGGGGATCTCGGTACCACCTAACAATGGGCTCTCTGGGCATTACTTTAAGGCTTTGTATCTGTTAGACTAAAGTAGAATCTGGCTAGGTGTAGTGCTGCATGCTGGTAATCATAACATTCTGGGAGGCTGAGGCAGGGTGACTGCAAGTGTATGCTTAGCCTAAGCAACTTGAAACTTAGCAAGACTCCTCTTCAAATAGAAAGGGGTTGGGGATATAGGTCAGTGTAAAGCCTCGGGCTCAACCCCAAAAGAGAAAAAGAGGAGGGAAGGAAAATGAAGTATGCAGGCTTAGATAGTTCCCCAGGTGACCCTGATGCAAAGCCCTAGGTGAGCCCAGCCTTCTGAGTGCCTGTCTTTGTCTTGACTTCAGCATCTCAACATGTAGCTAGAAATCTGGCCGAACACCAGCGTAGGGCCGATAGCTTTGCATTGTTTTGTGTCTGTGCTGAAGGAACAGACACAAAGCAGTCTGTGCCCTTCCTTCCACAGGGAACTGGATGTGCCTCTGCCTGACATTGACTACGTGGAGATCCCAGTGGACTGGTGGGATGCTGAGGCTGATAAATCCCTTCTCATTGGTGTTTTCAAGCATGGTGTGTATTGCAGTAAAATTTTTCCCTTCTGGATCAGATCCCCTGGGAAAAATGATCCAGGCATTCTTTTATTAAGCTTCATTTGCTTCTACAAAATTCTTCAGTCCTATTAAACATTCATCTTAGAAAGCAGAGCTGTACCCCTGCCCTCTTGGAGTCTTGAGCAGATGAATATGTAACTCATGACGATGCTGTAAATATGTAGAGAAACTTCAAAAGAGGCCCTGTGGTCACAAAGAACTCACTTGGTGTTTTTCTACCTTGCGTGTTTGTTTGCATTTGAGGGGAGACTGCCTCCCTCTCATTCACTCTTAATGGTCCTGGTGCCTGAGCTAGTGCCTGGCTTAGAATCGACACTCAGTGTTCGTGATAGAAGGAATAAATGAGGAAAATGCTAGGGTTTACCATTTCATATGTATGTGGAATTCTGAGGTCATTGAAGATAATCTACGGGTTCTTGGTGTATCGCTTTCGCCCTGTCAGTTTAAAAATCTAAGCAGAGAAGGCATGGACCATGTGGTTTTTTTTGTTTTCTTTATGTTAACCAGGAAATTAAAGGCACTGAGAGAGATTTTTAATCACTTGGAAAACCTCAAAATAAGTGCCTCTATCTTCCTTTCTGTCACTGTTTTAAGGACTGGCTGTATTTCTATCAACTGGTAGATAATACACTTCTCAGGGGTTATGTATCAGGAAACCTGCTCCATGTCACCTCCATCCCTCGGTTAAGTGTGTGTGGTAGTGCGACAAACATTTTCAGCTGTGTGTAGACTGGGGTTTTTGTTGATCTTTCAGTCCACCACAGACATGCTTGCTGGAGGGGAATATTACCATAGCTGCATCTCTATACCACCACCACGAGGTCCCTCTAGCAAGCCTAGTCTAAGTGATGCTCTGAACAGCTGTAAATTGTGTTAGCTAACTCCTGCCCCAATGGGGGCAGCCTGAATTTATAAAATGTTCCTCAGAAATACAGATTTTAGTATTTCTGTTCATACTCTTTTTTTTTTTTTTTTTTTTTTTTTTTTTTGTACCAGGAATCAAACTCGGGACCTTGTACTTGCCAGGCAGGCTCTGTGCCACTGAGCCATCTTCTCGGCCCTCTGTTCGTATTCTTAAGAGAGGAGCTTATAGGCTAACTGAAAATAGGCAGGAAGCCTCTCCCCAAAAGACCTTTGCTGCTTATGTCTTTGTTTTGTCATTACTGCTCTGCTAGAATTTTCTTGGAACGGTTGATACAGTTTTCCAGGGTACTGAATCAACCACTTTTCCTCATCTTCAGTTTTACAACTAATTAAGAAATAGAAACACAGAATCTGTCCTGACATCAGGCACACACACACAAGAAAAAAGTCTACATAGTAGAAGTGTACCGTGGAGGATCCACCTGCTTCGTGTTCTGTCAAGCACAGAGAGCATGAAGGCGGAACACACAGACAGCTTGCCCCCCGCGGTAGTACAGGGAGAGTGGAGGAAAGCTTTCATATCTGTCAGTTTTATGTGAACTAAGGCAGAACATAGGGACAGGGTGATAAAGCTTCTTCCTGCAGTGATAATTGGAAGAGAATCACTAAAGCTGACTCATCTAGTCAGTTGTCTCTTGTCTTGGTTACTTTTCTCTCATTGCTCAGACAAAATACCCAACGCCCAAAATTAAGGAAGGAAAGCTTTATTTAGCTTACAGTTTGTGGAGGTTTCAGGTTATAATCAGCTGGCTCCAAAGCAGTGTGGCACGGCACAGGGGCAACACTTCAAGATGGCACAAGACAGCAAAAGCAGCAAGAGCAAAAAAGGGCACAAGCCTCTTTTCCTCCCTTATATTATAAGCAGGCTACCCCCAGCCAGGGGGCCGGTCGCACTCACATAGTCTCCGTGTCCTCCTCTTGCACAGGCTCAGGATGAATACAGGGTAAGGACTCTGGCTCCGAGCTGAGTCACATAGTTAACTTTCTAAACTTCTCAAGTTGACCCAATGAAACCCTAGAGCGGTAAGGGCATGTCCTTTTCACCCCAGGATGTAGAACTGCTGCCTTACTTAGTTAAGCTTCTGGACTGCTCAGGTTGACACAGTGTATCAATTATAACATCTGTGTACAATGTCCGGCCATGTGCTGGATAGTTAATACTTGATGATGAAGAAAAAGATAAGAGATTGTGTTCCTAGGGAGCCTTTAGCCTCGTGAGAGAGGCTTACAGTAATCAGATAATTGCCCTGAGGAATAAATGAATGAAGAACATGAGGCACTGTAATTTCTAGTGCCTTATACCTCCACGGGAAGAACCTGTCTTGTGGAGTTGCACTGAATTAAAAGATCAAATACCAGCAACTCCTTGGAGAAAAAGGACCAGGTGCTGTCTAGAGGTGAATTGCATCCACAGTGATATAAGAACAACAACAACAAAAAATACTTAGCAAAGTAAAATGAGGTCTGTTCTAAGCAAGCTGATCCTTGTCTACAGTCAGCTCTTCTGTCCCTCGTGATGGGGTCTCTGCACATACTACAGAGCAAGAGATGGACCTTGTGAGAAGCATCGAAAAGAGCTCCATAATTACAAAGGAATTTCCCCTGAGATAGTTTAGTATGACAGTAGGTTTGGATCCTTTCCACAGCCAAATCCTGCTTTCTTACAAAAGTATATGAGATTCAGTAAAAGAACACACTCTCAATTTGGACTTTATCAAGTTAAAAGTTATTTTTCATTGTTTCACCTCCCTTTTGAGGTCCCTCTTCTCCACCCAGATGCTCCATCTGCTGACTTTGGGGATGTGGTGAGGAGCGATTCCAAAGCCCTGGCCACTGTGGATTAGGATTTCACACTGAGTTTGTGGATAGAGGCAACAGGTCCATTTTAACCCCATAAACAATCACAGCAGTCCTCTGTGTTTCAGCCCTTCCTTATTCACACCCATTATTTTGTCTGTCTTCCTATGTAACCCATGGTATAGAATGGTCTGTAAGAAAATAAGGCCCAGTTAGGACATAATAAGTTGTTGAGAGTTGAGAGATAGGAGGGAGAGGTTATAAAACCAACTTGTCCAACTCCCTTCGCTATCCAAAACTGGTAACCTGGTGAGAATCTGGACCTGCATCTGTTTGCAGATAATAAGTGGTTACATGAGCTTTCAGTCCTGGTTAGATACTGCTCAGAGGTGTGTGCTTTTAGTTCAAGGATCCTTCCCTATTATCCTAGTCTCATAGGATCTCATTAATCCTACATAAGTATTTTTTGTTTATGATTGATTTGTCTAATTTTTTTCACCTAACAAGGGAAACAAAATGGCTGTCTAGGGCCCAAGGCAGATTTGGTGAGTTCTGACTGATGTTTCTCATCGCTGATGTCTCTTTATTGCTTGATCAGGTTATGAGAGGTACAATGCCATGCGAGCAGACCCAGCCCTCTGCTTCCTGGAGAAAGTTGGGATGCCAGATGAGAAGTCCCTTTCAGCAGAGCAGGGTGGTACAGATGGGACATCAGACATTCCTGAAAGGTGAGAAGCCCCATAAAACTCACTCTGATGTAACAACCGGCCACCAACCTATGAGCCCTTCTGCATATATTCAGTCTGTATCTTTTCCTCCGTGACTGTCATCTTTAAACTTCACTGCCCTGCAGTTTCCTCCCCAGATTGCTACTTTGGGTCTAACCTACTATACCACAGACTTTAAACACTTTGAACCACATACCAGTTCTGTCTTTCGTGGGTTCCCTAGCCTACCCATCATCCTGTCCAACTTGTTAACTAGGTTCACTTCTCATCTGGTCAGATGGTTGCCAAGGAAAAATTCAGACCTCTCATACCCGGCAGAAAGTAAGAAGAGGCGCAATAAGTACAGCCGTCTTGAAGTTCCTCATTACAATGCCAATGTTATTTAAGGATTGCGCTGTCCGTGAGTTAGGTAGATTTTGGAACCACTGCTTCATACCTGTGGCATTTCAGCTTGCCATTGGGTAGTATGCAAAAACTTATGGAAGTGTCCCCTTTGGCTGAGTTTTATTTTCTGGTGGCATAACCCCAAAATCTAAATAAAATTCAGTCAGTGTGTTACATGTGCTTGTAATCCCAGCACTCTGGAAGGCTGAGGCAGGAAGATCTCAAGTTTAAGCCCAGTCACTTAGTGACTTAGTGATACCCTATCTCAGAAAAATTTCTAAAGGACTGTAGCTATAGTTCAGTGTGAAAGCACTGCATTCAATCCCCAGCATCCCCCTCCCCCAAAAAAAATCTCAGGAAAGATGCTGTAACTAAAACTATAGTTCTCTGGAAATACATATTTTTGGAAAACATAATATTTATTACTTAGCTTCTGTTTACTAAGATTTTGGCCCAATTGTCTCCTTAAAAGTAGCAGATACTACTTCACATTGCCAAGAGCTGTGAGAGCTCAGGCCTAGCTATGAGAGCTTGGCACTGCCAGGAGCCCCTAGCCATCTGCTCAGACCAAGAAAATTGTGACATAAATTTTTCATCTATTCTAATCCATAGTGAACACTAGCTGTTACGATGTTCTTTGCCCCAAAGTCATTTCCTGTGGACAGATAATAAAATACATTTTGGAAGATGTTAACAAAAGTCCAAATGAGTGGTGATCCTATGTCAGATTCATTGGTTCAGGGCAGTCGCTCCTTGGGTAAGGTACCTGCATGTGGGATAGAGATTGCATTTTTGCGGGGTAGCTGTCTTTTTGTGGTTAAGCCCTGAAGGTAGGAGATTTCCTGCTTCTAGGACCTCACTGGCAAGGACAAGCACGTTTGGGACAGGAATGTTTGCAAGTCAGTTTTAAAAGGAATATGAGAAACAGGTGTCAGCAATAGTTAAGTTATGAGAAAGACTTTAGGTAGCTAACCTAGCTGCAAGTGTCTGGTGACAAAGCAAAATGCCTTTCCTTCTCAGCATGAGAAACAGAGCTCCCTTCCGAGAAAGTGGTTTGCCAGGTGTAAGTGATTCTCTGGGAAGATGCAGCCCTCTGTTGTCTCAGGTTGGCGCATCACAGGCCTCAGCTGGTTAGTGCAGCCTTCGGTCTGCAGTTTGTTCTTTTATCAGAGCCTTATATGCAGACAGCTCTTGATGAGCAATGGGGCCTTTTCTCTGATAGTATCATCACTAAGTAGCCAGCTTCAGAATCTGCGGGAGCAGATCCTGAGGCTCCAGCCTCTTTCTGCCATCTCATTTGAGTAGAGGTCACTGCCCACTGACGTCATGGTACCATTCGGTGATAGTTTGTCTCATTGTTCGCGTCCCTTGAGTTCTCATAAAAGGAAAGGAAAAACTAAAAACTTGGAGTGCCTGTGGAGGAACAATCTAATACTCCCTTTAGTTACTGATGTGGGAGTTCTCTTATAAGCATAATGGTGACAAAATAACCCCTGGTGTGGTTACTTTTATTTAGAGGCAACATGGATAAAGAAGACACCACCGAAGACAAATTAGATGGCCTCCAGAAACAAACGGTGAGTCACGTGCTGTACTGGTCATCTACCCTATCTTGATATCCAGGCTGAAATCCTCATGTTGGTGATAGAGGACTTGGGGAAGGTTACTGCATCGCTGCAATGGCATGGTATTTTCACCAGGATTTTATTAAGGACATTTTAAACACACAGACGGCATTACATTTTTATTCTTTTCAGATAGCTGTAGATTTCAGATGAAATTGTAAACTACAATACAAAGATATCGTGGGAACCCTTTATCTAGTTAACCTCCATAGTAACATATAGCAAAATTCTAGTACAACAAAGATACTGACATCCATAGAGTCAAGTCACGGGACATTTCCACAGCCACAAAGATCATGGTTTTGCTGTCTTAGAACCACATCTGCTTCTCTTTCAGTTTCACCCCTTTGTTGTGGATAACCATTAATCCCATTTCTTTAATTTTATTTTAAGGAATGTTCTGTAAATGGAGTCATACAGTATGTAACCTCTAAGTATTGGCTTTTTTTTGCTCAACATAATTTCCTTAAAAGATGGGCGTGGTGGTGCATGCCTATAATCGCAGCACTTGGGAGGCTGAGGCAGGAGGATCATTGTGAGTTCAAGACTGGCCTGGTCTACAAAGTGAGCTCAAGGCCAGCCTGAACTGCATAGCAAGACCCTGTCTCAAAAAGAGAAAAAAAAAAAATTTCCTTAAGATCCATTTAGGTTTTCTGTATCAACCATAGTTCGTTCCTTTTTATTGCTGAGTAATATGATATAATAAATGAACCATAGTTTAGCTGTTCATCCCCTTAAAGACATTTGGTTTGTTTTCAGTTTGTTTTCTGTTGGTTGGGTGTGGGTTTTTGGTTTTAGTTTTGTTTTGGGTTGTTTGTTTTTTGGTTTTTTGAGACAGGGCCTTGAACTCATTACATAGCCCAGGCTGGCCTTGAATTTGCAGCAATCATACTGCCTCAAGTTTCAAATTTTTAACTAAAAATAAGGCCTTTATAAACATTTACAGACAGATTTTTGTGTGAACATATATTCTCACTTCTATAGGATAAATGTTCAGGCTTGTAATTGCTGGGTTATATGGTAGTTACATGTTTTAATTTTTTAAAAAGACTGAGGCAGCATGATTACAGTTCAGACTCAGTCTGGGCAACTTAACAAGTGTCTGACTCAAAATTTAAGGGTGAGGGGGCCTTGGTGTAAAGGCCCTAAATATTATTTTGGAGTCCTATACCATTTTACATTCTTCTGTGTCCTCTGTCTTCACCAACATTTAGTGTAGTATTTTTTACTTGAGTCCTTCTGATAGGTGTAGTGATACCTGTTATGGTTTTCATTTCTGTTTCACAAGTGGCTAATGATTGTTGAACGTTGTTTTATGTGTTTAATTGCCAACTTTATATCTACAAAATGTTTCTTCATGTCCTTTGCCCACATTCTAATTTGACCATTTCTTTGTTTTACTTTTGATGTTTTAGCAAGTTCTGTATAGGTTCTAAATTCTAGTCTTTTGTTAAATAGATGGTTTACAAATATTTTCTCTACTTTGGGATTTATCTCATTTTTATATGATTCACACTGTCCATCGCAGAGCACAAGCTTTTAATTTTATGAAGTCATCTTATCAATTTTTGCATTTGTAGATCTTGCTTGCAGTATCACGTCAAACACCTGCTGAAAGTTTTATAGCTTTGCATTTAAGTTTGTGATCCACTTTAATTTTCATACAGGTAAAGAGAATTAGATCAAGATTCTTTGTGCCTTTTTTTTTTAACCCTGTTGGTGTCCTATAGCTGAAGACTTTCTTTTTCTCCATTGAGTTACTTTTAAGCCTTTATCAAAAAATCAATTTGGTGTATTTGTGTGACTCTGTTTCTGGGTTTTCTGAGGTCCCATTGATCTATTTGTTCCTCTGATAACAACAGAAACTGGATTTTATAGCTATATTTTAAGTCTTCAAATGGTGCAGACTAATTCATCTGACTGTGTTCGCCTTCAAAATTGTTTTAGCTTTGCTTATTCTTTTGTCTTTCTGTGTAAATTTTAGAATAAAACTATCTACATCTCCAGAAATTCTTGCTGGGATTATGGTGGGGATTATATTAAACCCTTATATCAAATAGACATCTTTATCATGTTGTTTTTACTGTATTGAATCTTATTATGCATCTCTCTATTTCACTCTTTTTAAAATCTCTTTCATTGGACTGGGAAGATAGATAGCTCAGCAGCACAGCACCTGCCTGGTAAGCACAAGGTCCTGAGTTCAATTCCCAGTACCAAAATAAAACAATTCTTTCATCAACATTTTGTGGTTTTCAGCAAGTCAAGTCCTCTATATGTTTGTTAGATTATACATTGATATTTCATTTTTGTCAGAGTAATTGTAAATGTTGTTGTGTTTCTAACTTCATTGTGCACATGTTCATTATTAATGTACATAAGTATGAATATTTTATGTTTATTCTTGTATCCTGCAGCATTGCTAGACTCATTTTCAGTTCTAGGAGCTTTTTTCATGGGTTTCTTGGGATTTTTCTTGTAAACAATCATGTCATCTGCAAATGGAGACAATTTTATTTCCTCCTTTCTGACTTACACACCTTTTATTTCTTTTTTCTTGCCTCGTTGTTGCCTCAACAACTAACACTGTTGAATGAGAGTACTGAAGCAGACATCCTTGCCTTATCCCTGATATTAAAAGAAAGAAATTTGTCTTTCACTATTAAGTGTGATGTTAACTACAGAATATTCTTTTATGGTTGTTTTTGAGACTAGGTCTTGCTGTGTAGTTTAGGCTGGCCCGAACTCACTGTGTAGCCCACAGTTGCCGCAGACTTCTAGTAATCCATGTGCCTCAGCCTCCTAAATACTGGGATTGCAGGCGTGATCCCCCATGCCCTGCTAACTATAGAATTTTGGAGATCTCTATCTAAGATGAGGACATTCACCTGTATTCCTAGTTTTCTGAGTTTTTCTCATGAATCAGTGTAGAATTTTGTCATATGCAATTTTTACACTAATTGATACTACGGTGTGATTTTTTTTTTTCTTACTTAGATCACTAATATGATATGTTACACTGATTTTTTTTTGAGTATTGAACCAGCCTTATACCACTAGCATAAACTCGTTATTACAATGTATAATTCTTTTTATATTTTTATTGGGGCTGGGGATTTAGCTCAGCGGCAAAGAGCCTGCCTGGCAAGCGCAAGGTCGTGAGTTCGGTTCCTGGTACCGGAGAAAAACCAAAAAAATAAAATAAAATAAAAAATAAAATTATGGGGCTGGGGATTTAGCTCAGTGGCACAGAGCCTGCCTAGCAAGCGCAAGGTCATGAGTTCAATTCCTGGTACCGGAAAAAAACTAAAAAAAAAAAAAATAAATAAATAAATATATATATTTTTATTAAGAGTTTTTATGTCTGCATCCATGAAGAATATTAGTATATTCATGAGGGGTTGTTGTCTAGTTTTCATATCGGTAATATAAATTACATGAAATGAATCGTGTGTTCCCTCCTCTCCTGTTTTCTGGTAGAAATTCTCTGGAATTGGCATTAATTCCTTAAACATTTGGTAAAGTTTTCCTTTGATACCATCTGGGTCTAGAGATATCTTCTTGAAATGTTTTTAAATTATGAATTTCATTATCTATTTTACGTTGGATTCTGATGGTTTGTATTTTTAAGGAATTGGTCTATTTCATCTACACTGTCAAATTATGTGTTGAGTTGTTCATAGCATTTCCATATTACCCTCTTAATAGTAGATTTAGGAAGGTTTATAGGGCTTTACTGTTTGATTTTGATTTTTGTGTCTTTTTTCTTTGTTTATCTTATCTTTTTTAAAGAACCAGTTTTTTGTCTCATTGCTTTTTCTCTGTTTTTCTGAATTTTGTTTTGTGGTGGATTTTGGGGGGAGTTTGTCTGTTTGTTAGTTTTTGTTTTCAGTACTGGATATTGAACCCAGGATCTTCCCACTGAGCTATTTCCACAACCTTTTTTTATTTTATTTTTTTAAATTCTGTTTTGTTTTGTTTTATTTCTTGAGACATGGTCTCGGTATTTAGTTCAAGCTAGCCTTGAACTCACTATGTCGCCCAGACTGTGGCAATCCTTCTGCCTCACTCTCCGAGTGCTGGGATGTAGGCATGTGCCACCACACCCTTTTTTAATTTTTTTTTTTGTTGTTGTTGTTGTTTTTCTCCAGTACCGGGAACCGAACTCACGACCTTGCGCTTGCCAGGCAGGTGCTTTGCCGCTGAGCTAAATCCCCAGCCCCCCTTTTTTAATTTTTAAGACTTACTTTCACTAAGTTGTTAAGTTGCCCAAGCTGGGCTTGAACTTGCGATCCTCCCACTTCGGCCTCTCAGGGTGCTGAAATTACAGGTGTGCACCGCCACACCTGGCTTACCTGTCTGTCTTTAACTTTTATTTCTGCTCTTTCTTTCCTTCTGATTGCTTTGGTTTTGTTTTCCTCATCTTTTCCTAGACTTTTGTTTATCATACTAGGGATTGAACTCATAGCCTCGTGTAAACTAGGCAAGTGCTGCAACACTGAGCTACAACCCTAGCCCTATTTTAAAATTTTATTTCGAGCCAGTGTTTCACTAAATTGCCCGTAATGGTCCTCTTACCTCACCCTCTTAAGAAGCTGGGATTACTGGCATTTTTGCCTGGGTCCTTTCGCTAAAAGGTTAATTGAAAAGGTTAATTTGAAACTTTTCCATTTGTCTGACGTATGAATTTAGTGTTACAAATTTTCCCTAGCATTGCTTTAGCTGTATGGGTCAAATTTTGCTGTCTTTTACTTTCATTTTCATTCTTGCAGTTTAATGTATTTTAGAAAAATTTCTCTGCAGATGTCCTCTTTTGACCTATGGATTATCTAGGCATTTATCATTTAATTTCCAAGTGTTTGGAGCTATTCCTGTTACCTGTTATTTCATCTCTTGCTTGATCCCATTCTGATCAGAGATCACGTACTCTATGATTTTGTTTTAGATTCTTC